CAATGCGCTATAATATTATTAATCATCACAAATAATATGAACCAGTGCACATCTCGATGGCCGGGAATTAATAATAACATATGACGGTCATAATAACATATGACCGGAGGTAAACGAAATAAGTGGGTATTGTAAGGGTAGTGGGGACCATTAGGTATAATAATGTCATATCGTCCGGATACATTGAATTTCGATTCGAGTTTGTAATATTTTGTTTAATTTGTTACCTTCCTACTTATGACTTAAATTCTGTAATTTTTACTATCTGTTTATTTAAAAACTAATTTATATTTTATTAATTATTCGAAATAATTAACTGTCCATTCGTTTGGGGTCGCCGTGACTCACCGTGTTTCGTACTCACTCTGAGTCGCGAGTTGTACATATTCACCGTTTTGTAGTAGAAATAATGCTTTGATCTTCAAATTTAAAAATATTTATTTATTCATACATAATGGCTATAAAATAATATTTGAGATTCATTTTAAGATTCATTTATACCATATACATTATACTTACTCACAACATTCCACGGTATCGAGTTATATGTTAATAACATATACGCATAATATATTGTTGCAATACAATTTAGAATATATTATGCGATTTGCTTTAGGCAAAAGTTATTTAACCTGCCATATTATGAGTATATTACTAAAAAAAAATTAAATTCATAAAATGAAGTTAAATTCATAAAATATCTTTAGAAATATAATAGGCTGACCCTCCGATATTTATTGTTGTTCAGGTATTGAAACTCTAAGAAAAATATTCCTTTGTATTTCTATTGTTAGACATAGTTTGACATTTAAGTATAAGGGCCAAACATTTTATCCTACAGGAAATAACCGATGTACGTTATGCGTCAGCGTTTTCAAATCGTAATAAAAGTAAAATTCGAAATCAGAAAATACAGTCTGCCTCTGAGCCATTATGATACAATATTAATGGAACGGATTAATATAACAAGTTTGTTGAAATAGATGATTTCATTATGTAAAAATTGTTATTGTAAGATTATTATATTGGTATTTGTGGTACAGGTATGAATTAAATTTACTACTGGTTTTATTACATACTATATGCAGAGCAACAAACTATATGCTGCATTAAATAATAGAGACTTTTCAGACAATTGAATATATTAATTTTAAAATATTTGTATTTGTTTTCTAAGAAACCATAACAGTGTCGATTGTAGCCATAATTGATATTCATATTGTATGAATTCATTTTAATTTTAAAATGTCTATTCTGTAAAACTGTTATTCGCGATAGGATAGATACAAAGTTTGATTTTTTTCATTACCAAAATGAATAAAATATAACGCTTAACAATAACTGATAGAATTCTTTATCAGTTCATTTTTGAAGTCATAAGCTAAAGTATCAAGTAAATCCAGTTATATATGGTTTATTATGTAATGCACGAATGCCATGAAGATATCATTATCAATAAAGCTAATAAAAAATTACGGTTTTATATTCGATTGTTAAACTAATAAAACGAAGACACGAAATCGATAAAACAATGTTGATAAACACGTATAGTACGAAGAAAAGTTATAAATTCAAATATTTTCTAGTAACATCATATTAACATTTGCATTTTACCATTCCATTTAAATCCATAGTCAATTTTCGATGCAGCACGATTGCGTATTTTATCCTTTTTTTGGTTCGAAATCATAGCGCGACTGTGCACACCAAACTATTAACATAATAAATTGCTCACCGATCCATTTTTACCTGATAAGATCATAAGTCATAACACGATTAAGTACGCACCAGTGGACATAATGTTATGTACATACAACATTACATATACTATACGCATTATATAATTTAGGTGTATATATATGATAAAACGATACCTATGTTTTATATCAATGCGATTCAATTTGGTCGTATTCATAATATTTGTCTTCGCTCGAGAACAAATCATTGTTTCACAATTTTCATTCCTGAAATTACAGACATAGGATTGATAACAAAATGATCACAGTCGGCCTTGATAAAACATTTTTTGTAAACATAATAATTTTATTCGAAATGAACAACATAATATTGTTTTTTTTTTTTTCAACAATTTGTAGAGGACATTAGAACATTTTATTAATAGTGTTATTAAGTGAAGGCACCTAAGTACTACGCTTAATAGGTACCAATTAAATAAAATAAATTATGATGATTTTATAAAAAAAATAAAATATTTAAACATACAATTTTTTATCCGAACCAACAGCGATCATATTTTGTTGTCAGTCCTTGGCGAGTAATTGTAAAAGAGATTAGAGAATAATAAAATGGTGAACTAATAATTGGTTCTTCTGTAGAATTCTGCGTAAAAAAAATATTACGAACGAGACCAATTTTGAATTTTTGAGTTTTATATTTAACACCTAACCACACGAGGAAGGGAAAAATGCACAATCGTGCAGTACCCTAAGGCCTAAATTGTTCTGGTTTGAAAATCAAAGTGGATTTTTCGTAACTATTTATTTTTATTTATTTCATCATTTTACTTTAAGAAAAATTTGAAAAATAATATTACAACCATACATGGTACCTCACGATTCGTACGTTGTGTGATTTATGTCTGCTGTATATCTGTTGGTTATTTTATTTTATTTTTGTGTTTTATGATTCAATATTTCAATACGTAAAGTCAATCACATTTTCAAGACACATTCCGTGCGTGTTCTGAAGGATTTAAGATAGTGAATATTGAATATTGGTTATGTACCCCCCC